CAGAAAAAGCCATTTTTATGCTGGAATTAGGGAGTTATGCAAGTGTAACTATATCAGTATAGTTGTACCGGTGTAATTTTGCCACTTAATTTCCCTGTGTAGACGAGTCCTAAATTCTAATTGCAGAATTTGTACTGCTGGCCATGGTATCTGAGCCAGAAAACACCAAGCATGACTGTTGGATCCCAGGTGAAGGTTACGGGACTGGCAGTTAGGGGAAAAAAATGTTTTATTTGTTAACTTAGCTATTTGTTATAAAGTTACTCAAAGAGAATAAATGAGAACCTCATGATGCCATTTTTCCCATTGTCTTTTTGTTATGTTTGACCAGTTCCTAGCACGTTGGGGCCTCTCATCCCTGAATATGGCTTTCAGGTGCTACTGCATCACAAATAATTATACTTTTAAGAATATAACAGCACCTTAAGCATATATTCTGTGAAACATTTGTGATGTAATAATCATAAGGCAACCTCAATTTACAGCACCAATATTTTTTGTTGAAGATTGGCCATTTTTAAGTCTGTTGTTGAGTGTCCAGGGAGGTTAAAGTGTTCTCCTACTCGTTTTTGAATGTTACAATTCTTGATGTCTGGTTTGTGTATATTTATTCTTTTACGTAGAGACTATCCAGTTTGGCCAATGTACATGGCAGACGGGCATTGCTGGAACATGATGGCATATATCACATTTAAAAGTGGCCATTCTTCAACAAAAAAAACTTTAGAAACAGACTTCAGTGAGAAACTGCAGAACTGGAATTAATTTGCAAACTTCACACCATCAGATTAGGCCTAAATAAAGACTGGGTGTGGCTAGGTCACTACAAAAAGTAATTTTCCCTCTGATACTCACACCTTCTTGTTTACTGTTGGGAATGAGCCACACCCACCCTGATTGAATTGGCCTCCTTAGCACTGACCTACCACTTGGTAAGGCTACTCCCATCTTTTCATGTGCTGTATATTTATACCTACCTACTGTATTTTTCACTCAATGCATCTGATGAAGTGGGTTATAGCCCACGAAAGCTTATGCCCAAATAAATTTGTTAGTTTCTAAGGTGCCACAAGGACCCCTCATTGTTTTTGCTGATACAGACTAACATGGCTACCCCTCTGAAACTTTTAATTAGACTGGTATACATAAATCAGTACAACTTTCTAGTGTAGACAATGCCTACGAGTTGAGAGGGGTGGGGGCATTCTAAGCATTCAGTTCCTGGCTCAAAGGAGCACTGACTGCAACAATAGCTGTGGTTGCTCACCGCTTGTTGGAGTCAAGTCACTAATATTGAAAATTTCATAGATCTTGGGAAATGCTGTCCATTTTCTTTTCTTCCCACACATTAGTTAATATTTGTCTTGCTTCCTTCTTTCCTTTTAGCCTTGGTATTTTTGTTGTTGTTGTGTTTTTTTTTTTTTTTTTAAAAACCCTGCTACATGTTGTTAGCTTGAGATTGTGGTGTTCATTAGTGAAAGTCACACTGTGTTCATTAAAATGATATAATTAGATGAGCTTTGAGTTAGCTCGTTGCCACACTTCCTCATCGGAAAATGGTACAGTTTATGATGAACCCAGTAGCTACTAATGTACATAGTAACTACAGAAGCCAGTTCTTGTTTTGTTAGTTATACAAATAGAATGTGAAAGATGTTAGCTGGCCTATTACTGCCCTACTATGGGATCATAGAGGTTAGGGCTGAATCAAACTTTGGGCATAAAATGTTTGGGGTGTTGGTTTGGGGGTATTTGGAGGTATTTACCCTAAATGGTCAATACTTTGGAATAACAGATTTTGAAAGCAACATTTTACTTACATGGCTTTTTTGATCTGTTGCAAAGGGGCTGGCGGGGGAGTTAAAGTTTATTGGGAAATAATATAATTTGGGGGACCTATGTATAAGAAGGTATTATGGGCAGGTTATATGAAGAATGGTGAAGGGAAAGGAATCAAAGGTCAGATTGCAAGAAGACGTCAACCCACTTTGCCCCCCGGGGTGGAAGCCTTTTGTGGAAGGTAAGAACAGTGACCCAGTTCCTGATGGAGACCTCTTCTTTCAGCTAGCTGAAGCTATGTATTTGGGGGTGGGGAAAGAAAGGGAACAGCATGTAGGAGAAGAGTAAAAGAGTACATGGCACTAAAATGGAGCAGGGAGATAAGGGTAAGGAGCAGAGGAAAAACTCAAACAAGAGAAGACAAAACAAGATTAAGAAACAGAAAATCTAGAAGGAGAAGAGCAAAATGTAAGCATGGGGAGCAAGATATGCAGACAGTAAAATAGGATTAGACTGGGAGAGTGAAAATGCAGTATAGACATTTGAGACTGGGAGATTAATTTTTCTCCTGCCCTGGTTTTTACTTGATATGTTGAGTTCTTCTGTTTTGGAGAGGGAGTGCTTATTCCCATCCAACTCTCCCATTGCATGTTCCAGCTGTGTGTTTTTCTTTCAGTTTAAACCTGTGGTTATCCTAGAGGTGATAGATCTGCAAACTAAGAGCCAGGTCCTCAGCTGGTTGAAATAATCGTCATAGCGCTGTTGACTTCAGTGGAGCTGTGCCAGTTTACATTGCTGAGAATCTGGCCCTAAAGGTTATGGTCTCTGATGGCTCTGCACTGTGCCATTGACATGTGTGTAAAATGCCACCAGATCAGAATCCAGATGGCACTAGCGTTAAAAGCTACACAAGGTGCAAGGCAATGGAGAATTAGGTCCTGAATGTTTCTATGGTGCTGAAGAGGAAATGGAATCACCATGAAAACAGTTGTTCAATCTGATGAATTATTTAATCCAGACCACAAATGTCTTTTTGCACATGTGATGCACAAATGTTCTTTCAATCTGAACACACCCTTTCCTGTCACAGATGTCACAATTCTTAAAACATCCACTTGTTTATCTAGTTAGCAGTTTACAGGTGGGAGTATATGGGTTGGATGGGTTGGAGGCAGAGAAGAATTCAGTTGAAGAACAAAGCTGTCTTTTCTGGTATCTGTGGGTTGGTGGTAGAAGTATTCTTGGGAGCGCTCTGTGTCAGTACTTTTGGTTTCTGAAAAGAAAAGTATAAATTAGTCTATAAATAACACTGAGTTCAGAATTCAGGGCCAGACCCATAGCAGATGTCAATCAGGGTGGCTCTCGATTGAAGTAAAAATTACATCAGCTGACAGTCTAGTTTTCTCTATGCAACATTTTTTTTAAATAGATCATTGCATTTTTAACACCATCTTCTTCTAAAATAAGTTTGTTTGTCAGTAACTCTGCCCCTTTTCCCAGAATTGTTTCACTTACCAACAGAGCTGATGCAATTCTCCCCTTCCTGTTCTTCCCCTGCCACTCAAAAAGTATAGCTTAAAGTGATTTTCTTTTGTTTCTATATGTAATTTAGAGCATTTCTAAAGTGTATTATCACCACACATGCAGTCATGGGACATAGTCAGTTCTCCATGTTGGAGGCTTGTCTAACACGGTATTTTCTCTGATTTTACTAAACTGATAGGAAAAAATGATTTAGTTAAATCAGTGCAACCCTTTAGTGTGGATGAAATTACAGTGGTATTTACAGAGGTATTTATATCAGTATAGCTTGTTTTGGCTCAAACACTAATATAAACACATTTATACCAGTATAACTATCCATACTAGAGACTAAATCGTTGCAACAACTATGTGTAGACAAGCTCTTAATGTATTCATATGTCTTTGAGCATCCTGTCCAGTTTTTCCTCTCTATTTTGGGCTCTTTTCTGGGGGAATGATTTGGTTCAGTAACTATCCTCCAAAAGTTGAACAGGTTATTAAATTACCATACAAACACATTAATTAGACACACTGCCAAATATTTATATTTTAAAGGATACTTTAATATTCACATATGAATTTAGGGCTTGCTATGCCAATTTCCTTAACATGATGTAGGATCTTCCAGAGATGTTAGCTGAAAGTGTCTGCATTTCTTCAATCTCATACGGCTGTTATTAGCAGTACATGTTTATAGTGTAGAATTGCCCAAAGGCCTCAGTCCTGACTGGAACTCCATTCTGCTGGGCACTGGATAAATACTGGGCCACATCATGGTCCATTCCACAAGCCAGCCCAGGGAGTTGACGGGGCATGTGTCCCTTATTCCCTTGGACCAATACACTGTACCACCGCTTCCTGTGTGTAGGGAGAAGTGGGCTCTGAAGAGCTGCTACATTCAGGTAGGTGGGAAAGAGCCTTGACTCGGCTCCCCTCCAGTGTGCCCAATTATGTAGTTTCACTGGTGCATCAGGGAGCATATGCTGTGACAGGTGTAGGCCTCCCTCCACAGAGCAGCTAGGAGAGAGATTGTGACTTTGCAAGGCAAAATCTCTCCACTTGTGTTGCTCCTGGAGTAGCCTGTGATGTGCTCCCCTTACTCTGGTGTGGATCACAAAGAGATGATCTTCTAGACCATAGGAAAAAGACAATTCCTGCCTCCTTGGGCTGGTGTTAAGCATTTATATAACTTAATTTCAGATATTTTGATTTAAGAAAAATTGTACAGAGTGGTGAGGAAACATAGATTCAGCAGCATGCTAATAAAATGTAGTAATCATTCTATACCATGGAGTATTTTTTGTAAAGCCTCTTTTATTTAATGAAATGATTGGCATTTGAAAAAACTTCTGCACAACTATTTTTAGTCGGTGATTTACAAGTTAGATAATCAGTTTGTCGCCACTCAGATCACTGGGTCCCCATGAATATAGTGTGTTTGACAGTTAAAAAATCTACAATATTATTTAATTTTAAAAATTCCCTTTTTAGCTAGCTGTGTGGCAAGGAGTTTTCCGGACATGTACTGTAGTTCAGATGATTCATTGGTTTTTGCTTCTCCTTTTAAAGGATTGCAACTTTCTATAAAGCAGCAGTTTAGCTTTTAGTCTGAACACAGAAAAGCAAAACAGTCAAAGAATCTTTCAGGCTCCGTTCTTATTCTAAAACTAATTGCTTGATTTATTATGCACTTACAGGAATTTGTAACTGTCCTGGTACGGGACCCTAGGATACAGAAGGAAGACTCTTGGCATTCACATATAAACTATGAGATATTCATTCATGTAAGTATGAAAATAACATAGTAAAAATACTTTGCACTTATGTAGCACAACTATTCAAGGCTGTGATCACTTCAGAAATATTAATGATTTAAGCCATACAGCACCACTGGGACATTAGCAGGTATTTTTATGCAGATGGAGAAACAAAGCAACGGATAAAGTGGCTTGGCCAAAGTCATGCAACAAATCAGTGACAGAGCTGGGAATTTAATCATGATACACACTGGCTCACATTTGTGTACTCTAGTATGCTCTGTTCTCTGACAGATACTGTTCATGGTTCAAATTCTTAGCAAGACGACCAATGTGGCAGACTTTTCATAGTCACTGGTTTTATCATAGTAAGAAAAACCATTGGATTTCAAGCATCCGTGTTTATACAACTCTCTTTTCAATGAATAATCCAGTTATTTGCTTCATAATCAAAATTCCTGAAGCTGTTTTATCTGTCAAGCTATTTGATTGTCATAACTGTGTAAATGTTCAATGTGGCTAGACATTTATATTGTGCCCAGTTCTGTGGTATCAGGGTACTTCAAGTGTTTTTCTTAATGCTTATAATTTTAGTGTACTGCATTCTAATAAGGATACATTTGAAACTGTGATTCTATCATATCCTAAATCTGCCATACATTTCATTTAATTAAATATTGCTGATTATTCTTCCATTACCACACTTTGCTGGATGAAACATTGAAGGGATTATAATAATTTCCTCAATCTAGATCCTGAGATTGAAAAATATGATGTATGAAAAATTTCGTCCATCCCCTCATGTTGGCAGGATTACTGGGTTCAGCCTATAACTGTTTTGAGTGTAAAGTGTCCCCTACAATATTGGCTATCAGACAAACATGGATCACGTTAGAGAAAAGTGAAATTACATCTTTTGTCACACATTGATGCTGTACTTTGGGGAAGCCCATTGTTGGAAAATTGACAAGAAACTGGTAATGTGGACAGAGTGAATGCATAAGAGGATAATTTGGGTCTCTCAGAGGTTCGGTTTCTGCCATTCCAAGCACTCCAACAGCAGTACACCATACCTTGTCCAGCTGTCTGCCATTACCTTCGGCTTAAGCCTCTCTTGAAGGATTTATTTGATCCTGTTATACTGGAAGCACTAGAGACTCCAGAATTGTTGCAGATATGGAGAGTACTCCATAGGTTCACCTGACCAGTTATAGCTTCTTACGACTTTGTGGCCCAAAACCCCCTCCTTAATTTAGATTGCTAGCAACAAGCATTGAACAAAGATTTGTATATATTCTTGAAAACTAGCCAATGGAGAAATACCTTGCAAAGCATTAAAAACTGTATGTATCTACAGTTGAGGCTGATTCAACAGAAAATTTATATTTCATTCACACTGGTCACTGCACAGCTTACAATGCTTTGCCAAAACAAACTGCTGTTGGAGATGTGGGTCTCCCAGAGCTCAGATGTTTTGGGACTGTCCCAGGATACAATCCTTTTGGCTAGAAGTGGGCAGGAGGATTAATATGATAATGGATATCTCTTTATAAATTACTTCCCAGAACTGTGTTTTGGGATATATCGCATCATCTTGGAAACTTTCCACCTCATGGAAAACTTGTTCTCTAGAGCAGTGCTGGTAGCCAAACGTCTCATACTGCTTAGGTGGCAGGGCAGACTGCCTTCAGGGCTAGAAGCTTGGCTCAGCAACTGGGCTGACCTAGCAGCTAAAGAGCAGGTAACATTTCTGAGAAGAAGGACCTCAAACAGATTTGAACAGATTTGGTCCGACTTTTTAGAAGTCTTTGATTAACTCATAGTGGATGGAAACTGAGATAATACTCTCCTCTCCTTCCCTGCTCCACTCCCTTCCTTTCTTTTCCCTCCCTTTTTTTCTTTTCTTATTTTTTGGGTGGAAAATATAAATTAAAAAAATCTTGCATAATTACTCAAATATTGAGGTGAGAGTTTGAGAGCATGAAGTCATATGATTGCTAAATAAAGCCACAAGTCTGTCAGCACTTATTACTTGTGTGTGGGAGGAAAGCAGTCATCTTAGTAAGGGCAAACAATCAAGTGACTGGTAACTAAGGGCCCAATCATTACATCTGCTTTTCCCTGTGTAGCAAGTATTCATGCTAGTCCTATTGATAGAGCCCTGCGCATGCGATCCACAAAAATTATCTGCGGATGCGGATATCCGCAGATTTGCAGAGCTCTACATTGGGGGCTGAACTGAGGCTCCGAGGCACCCCCCGTCTGGAGCCCGGTCGGGGAGAGATGCGCTGGCAGCAGTGGGGGGCCATGATGGACCGTCCATCTATCCTGGGTAGGGAGCAGTGTTCCCTCAAATTTTTCCCACCCATGTGCGGAATGAATTTTGTTACGTAAAGCAATATGGAGGTGATGTGAGGGGGTGCAGAAGGGTGCTCTGGGGCTATGATGGGGAGAGAGGACTCCCCTGAGCTCTCTCTCCCCACAGCAGCATCTGGGCTGGGGAAGAAGAGGCGCTTCTTCCCTCTGCGGCAGCTTCGGGGCTAGGGCGGCAGTATAGGTGCTCCTTCCCCAGCAGGTCCAGGCTGGGGCTGGGTTCAGGCCATGGGAGGGCTGCTGTGGCAGAGTTGGGGCCGGGGGAAGGGCGCCCCGGCCGCAGCAAGTTGGGTGCCGGGCTAGGTTGTGGCCTTCCCCGGCTGCGGCAGGTCCCTGGGTGGGTTCCCTGAGCGCCTGCGCTGTGCAAAGAAGGCTGCTGGACGGAGACACAGCTTACAGCGAACTTAGCCAGGGGCCCAAGCAGCCCCCCACCCAGGACATGTGGAGGGACCCAAGGTCTCCACAGCTGCCAGCGCAGCTCTCCCCAGCCGGGCTCCGGCCAGGAAGGGGGGTAGCTCGGAGCCGCAGACCAGCCACAATAACAGCTGGGCAGGCAGCTGTGGGGAGCTGCGGTGGACCCTCCACCTGCATTGGGCGTGGGACCCGAGCAGCCCACGAATCCTGTCCCTACTCCCAAGGCAGGTGGAGGATCCGCGCCACATTGCAGATACTGTCAGAGCCTTTCCGCATCTGCAATGGTATCTGCAGATATAGTCCATGGATACAAAGTGGATACCCATGGATTTGCAGGGCTCTTCCTATTGATTTAACTGGGACTATGCATGCTTGGAAGGAGTAAGTGTTTGCAAGGTAATGACCAGAGCTATTTTAAAAAAAACACCCTTTTTTAAATGCAAAAATTGGAGTTTTCTGTTGGAAGTCATTTTCTGACAAACTTTTTCACCTGATGTAATTGATGTCTTCATTCTGATCATCTTTGCTTTTAAAACAAAGTGAAGAAAAATATATTTCCCTGAGAAGTTAGAAACTGATCCTGATCTGGTTCAAGATGCAACTGTTTACATAGCTATTATACTGAACTGAATAGAAGTCAGTCCTTCAGCTTTCAGAGAGAGAATTCTCAGTGCCTTTTTTTAGTATGAAATATCTATGCTGTTTTCTTAAGTCTAAAGGATTTACAGGTAAAGTGAGTCTTATTTCCCAACAGACAAATAGCATGTGCTTTACAAGGAAAACATCTTGTGTTAGACGACGCTTTCGAGAATTTGTATGGCTGCGGCAGAGACTTCAGAAGAATGCTGTGCTACTGTGAGTGACTTTTTTTTTTTTAAATTTACCTTCTTCCATCAAATACAAATTTAATACTCTGAAGATGACACGCAGGTAGGGTTTTTATCTGTTCGGAACTATTACTAAAGAATCATATAAGTTAGAGTTGGGCAAGACTTTAGCCCATATACTCTGTACCCTACCAGTGCAAGGTTGTTTTCCACAATATATTTTCTAGTGGTTTGCGGGTACTTCTACACAGTAATAAAAATTTTGCGGCTGACCTGGCCTCTAGGACTGAAAAACTGCTATGTAGCTGTTCGGGCTCAGGCTGTAACCATTGCAAGGTCCCAGAGCTTGGGTTTTAGCCTAAGCCTGAATGTCTACACAGCAGTTTTTCAGCCAAGAACCCAAGCCAGCTGACAGTTTTTTATCACTGTGTAGACGTACCCCTGCCTTGCCTGGAGTTAAACATCTCAAGTAGTGGGGCTTCCACTATTACCTTTTGGTAACTATTACCCAAACTAGTAAGGCTTAACGTATTTAATCTTATATTTTGTTGTATACAAGTTTGAACAGCTAGTGCTCTTGATGAACCATTAAAGATAACAAAAATGTAAATTACACTGTTCTACATTTTCCTGACCCAACTGTTCATCCTTGGAGTCTAGGTGTCTATATACCAAGGTTCTCATATGGTCCTTATCACTGTGGTATCTGAGCACCTCCCAAAATGATAAAATGTGTACACAAAGATACATTTCTCTCTCTCTCTCTTCCCTCCATTCATCAGAGACTGGCTTTGCTTTATATTTGTCCAAGATATTTTTTCCTTTGGCCTGATGTTGTAATTTATCCTCCTAAAATTAGATCACTCGCATAAACTATTTTTCTCAGCCACTTCATTTTTGGTTTTAACTCTGTATTTTATTTTTTAAAGCCAATTACCTGAACTTCCATCTAAAACTCCCTTTTTTAATATGAATAATCCCCATCATGTGGACCATCGTCGACAGGGCCTACAAGAATTTCTTGAGAAGTAAGTACTGCATCTTAGTGTGTTTTTATTGAAGTCACTAATTTGCTGTATTAGACAGCTCATCTCTTGTACGGGAGAGCCATCTTGTGGTGAGCATTATATATTGCTCTTTTAGATTTCCTCTGTCTCTCATGGACACATTTTTGTATATACCACTTCAGCTGAACTGTTGCTACCAAATTTCAGCTGAAGTTCTGCACATTTCAGTGTATTGATTAGAAATTGGCATTTTTGTGAAGCATCACAGTGTTTAAATTATTTCATGGCCTTATTTTGGTTAAAAATGCTCTTCTGGTAAAATCTGTTATCTTTCAAGAATGAGATAACTGTTAAAACAAAGAAACAGGTTTACAGTGGTGAGGAAACTAGTGTTAACACCTCTCTAGCAAACTCTGCTTAAACACAATGGGCTTTGGGAAACACTCTGTAATAAGGAATCATTTAAAAAAAATATCCCTCTCATACTACAGCTGGTTTAGCTGAGCTGGGGTTAATACCTATATTTGGGTCCCCTAGTGTAGATAAGGCAATCTCACAATTGGCACCATTTTTACCACTTTGCCAAATAAGTTTTATTCCAGCAAGCATAACTAAAACAGTGATCACAATAATCTCCCAGCAGCACCAACACTCCTTCGCCCGAACTGGTGATACCACCAGTGGAAATTTTTTGGTAAATTTCTCCAGTGTAGACTTGGACAGTAGAACCAGGCCCTGTCTCTTCTTGCAAAGGACATGGTTTGTGAAAACATTGTTTAAAGGGATGGAGCAAAAGAATTTTTTAAAATAGTCTCCTAGGCTAGGGTCCAACCTGAGCTAGAAAAAGGTTTTAAGAACGGTTTTAACATGGCATTTAGCTCAACACTCTGGCTGTTTAATAATACCTAGCTCTTATACAACACTTTTCATCTGTAGATCTCAAGCACTTTACAAAGCAGGTTAGTATCATTATCTGTGTTTTGCAGATGGGGAAACTGAGGCACAGAGACCTGTTCAAAATCATCCAGCAGCTAGCTGCAGAGCTGGGACCCAGGTCCCCTGAGTCCAAGCCTAGCATTCTAGCCACTAGATCAGGGTGGGCAAACTTTTTGGCCCGAGGGCCACATCGGGGAATAGAAATTGTATGGCAGGCCATGAATGCTCACAAAATTGGGGTTGCAGTGCGGGAGGGGGTGAGGGCTCTGGTTGGGGGTGCAGGCTCTGGTGTGGGGTGGGGGTGAGGAGTTTGGGGTGTAGCAGGGTGCTCTGGGCTGGGACCGAGGGGTTCGGAGGACAGGAGGGAGATCAGGGCTGGGGCAGGGGTGTGGGAAGGGGTGCAGGTTCCAGCTGGAGGGTGTGCATTCTGGGGTGCGGCTGGGGATGAGAGGTTTGGGGTTCAGGAGGGTGCTCCAGGCTGGAATTGAGGGGTTTGGAGAGCAGGACGGGGATCAGGGCTGGGGCAGAGAGTTGGGGCATGGGGAGAGGCTCAGGAGCACAGGCTCCAAGCGGCGCTTACCTCACCTAAAGTGACTCCCGGAAGCAGTGGCATCTCCCTTCTCCGGCTCCTATGCAGAGGGGTGGCCATGTGGCTCTGCAAGCTGCCCATCTGCAGGCATGCCGGAGGGGTTATTGGAGCACGTAGGAGCCGGAGCGGGGCCATGCTGTGGCTTCCAGAACCTGCGTGGTGCGGCCCATGACCCAGCGCCCTGGCTGGAGCGCTGGAGAAGCCCCTGACCCAGTGCCCTGGCTGGAGCGGGGCTGAGCTGCATAGTGTGGCCCTGACCCTGCACCATGGCCAGAGCGCTGGAGCAGGGCCGAGCCGCGTGATCCGGCTCCTGACCCAGCACCCCGGCTGGAGCGAGGCCAAGCCATGTGGTGCAGCCCTGACCCTGTTCCCCAGTGGGAGCTCACGGGCCAGCTTAAAACGGCTCACGGACCCATAGTTTGCCCACCTCTGCACTAGACCAACCATGTTTGTACCATCTTGTGGCTTTTTCTACCATTTGTAAAATGTCCTACCATTGCTGTCACTGGTGCAGCTCCATTTGTGGCTGCAGTGGTAGGAGCACTAGTAAGTCAGGCTGCTACCAGCCACCAGCTTTTTATCCATTGTTTTGTTTAGAGCTACTCTGAGCATGGGTAGATGACATGAGAGTTACAATGCTAGTCTCCGTAGAACTTACCAGTGTGGACCTCTACTAGTAGTAGCAAAGGCAGGAATTTTTAAGCAAGTTACTATGCTTTTTGGTGCATGCTCTTCCTGGCCAGTGTCACGTAGCTTTAAGCGGAGTCCTTTGCTCCTAGTTTGGGAAGAGCAAGGGAAGATCTGTGTTAGCAGTGTGCTCAATAACTGGCAAGAGGGTGTGTGTCTACAGTGACCCCATTAGTCATTTCAGGAACAGTCTTGTCTGTTCCTGCATAGAGTCATATCTAATCTTCATTGGCCAGGACTTTAGTCATGACACTGCTTGAGGGTACATGACACTAATACAGAGAGTGGAGGAGGATTTAGGGATTGCCCCTCAACCTCACTGATTAAAAACAACTCAAGAGTTGGGAATACTGATGGTTTGGACAAAGCCTGTGGTTGTTCAGGTATCCATGTGTGAGCTCTCAGCTTTCTCTGTGCCATGATGTGGATAATTGTTATTTTTTAAAAATACTCTAATTTTAAAATGAAACTTGCAGGAATGGTGATCAGCCCAAACTGCTCCAAAGTGACTTTTATTACAGGACACACAGTATTTCCATCCAGTGGCTGTGTTTCCAGAAATGACATTAAAACAGAAATGTACTTTCTTTCAGCTTTTTGGATACTTGTAGTTAAACTGAGTACTGGGATAGGAGAATGTTGAGCATTTCAAGCATATTGCTCCATGAACATTAAAATGATTAGTGTTCGGTGCATCAAAGTTTTTAAACTGGGTTTTTCCTCTTATAGTAATGATTTAAATGTTTGTGCTTCAGTGCTGCATGAAAGGTAGCATCGTTCTCCCAGACATTCTCAGCCACAGGGGAAAACTAGACTTGAAAGGAGTTTTTAAAAATATGGTTGTGTTAGGATAAATTGGCTTGGCATTGACTTCCTGTGGCGCTGCCCTCTGCTGGATGGAATGTCAGACGTCCCAGTTTGCAGAAAAGTTCTCTCCATTAGCTGAACTAGAATGCTGCTCCGGACGCCTCTATTTTGGAGATTGTGAGTTTTTTCTTTTTTTGGAACATAATGTCATGAATTCTTTCCCTGAAGCTGTATTTATGTGACTCGTTGACAAGCATGAGATCTGCATAATTCCAGCACTGGATCACTGCAGATTTTTTTTTTGTATGACACATGCTCCAACAATTTAAAATAGTGGCACTGACATATGGTTAGTCTGGGGCCTTTCAGATTCCTCTGTCTTGATTTTATGTACATTTATGGACTTTTTTTTTTTTTTTTGACATTGCTTAGTACTTTAGGTCTAAATTCTGTGCCCCACAGTGCCTATAGCACAGAGCCCTCAGCAGCTCCCTAGGGCCGCCAGGCTGTGCATCTGTAAACAACCACTTCCTGTGGGAGACGGAACATCCTTTGAGACAGCAAGGTAGCACTTATACAGATGCTCTGCGCTTTTATACACCCCCACACAGCAGTTTGGTGCCTCCAGTGTTCCAGGGGGAGCAATAGGGGAAATCAGTCATGGAGAAACTGAATGGGACCCTACAGGCCAAAACAGCAAAAGTGAGCTATTAGCCAGGGCAAGGAGACAGGTGCCTGTCAGGCAGAATGACACAAAGCGCGCCTCCCCCCCGGGCCTGGCAATTTCTTCTGGGAGCGAGCAGAACAGGGATCACAAGCCACACGTGCTAACCAGCTTGAGGAAGATGGGGCCATGGTAAAATTTTCAAAAACCCTCCTTGAATCTTAGGCTTCTAAGTCTCTTCTGAAAATGTGACCTATGCTCCTAAATCACTTATTTGCTTTTGAAAATGTAATGCACCATCCCTAGCTCTTTTCTTTTTTTTCCTCTCCTCCATCCACCTCTCTGTGTGGGAAGGTTACTGCAGCAGCTCCCAGGGCACCCACGGAAGACAGAGGGGCGAGAATTTATGGAGGGCTGGTGGGGAGAGGAGGCTCATTTGCATGAGGTTCCTACCCTGCACCGTTGAAGCACTCTGTACTACCCAGCTGGAGAGTGGATGTGGATCTTTGTTGTTCCCCACCTCCACACACCATCCTCTGGATTAGTTAGCTCTGAACAGCTAGTTACTTAGACATACAGGGTTTCTGCAGCTCTTCCTGATGCATAAATCAGGGCCAGGATTTGACCCTTAGTTTGAAACAGAAGTAAAGCATTATAATTCATGTTGGAAGATGAGGTTGGATGAATCTGGCTTTATCATATATTTCCAGCACTGATCCCATTTGTTTTATAGGGGATTATCATTTTGATTGACAAAAGAACTGTATAACTCAGTCCTTGTTACTGTCAAGTTCAGTGTTTGAGAACTCTGCCTCCATTAGCTAGACGTCAGATTGCTAATTTTCAGGCATCAATTGCTTTTTGGGAATGAGGAAAACTACACATTTCCCATTGGAAATATTCCTGAAGACATATTGTGATGCTGATGAATTCTCCTTTAAATTCAAACAAGAAAGCTTATTACTGAATTGAAAAAAAATCAAAAATTATCTTTACTAATACTAAGTTTTGTTAGACCCTCTTCCTTTTCACCCATTTGTTCTGCACAAAACTTAATTTTGGGGCCTAAAATTACCTAAAATGATTATTTGCATTCCTGTTTATAATAACTCCAATATGTATTTACTAAAAGCAATTTATTGTATTTAAGTTGCATTCCATTATTTTGCTTTAATTGAATGAAACTGGAGTTATTTGCTCATACCAATGTGTGGTTTAGAAAAAAAGGTAAATATCTATTAGTAATCTCTTGAGAGTGGCTATTCCTGGAAATTACAACTGGGAAACATGCTTTAATATTACATCTCCTGACAAGAGATTAATATGGAAATAGATTTAAATAATGTTTTTAAAAGTCCACTTCTGATTCGCCAAACCAGTTCCTAATCCTGCCTCCCTACCTTGCATGCGTAAATATTATGTGTGTAGTCCCAATGGGCCTGGTTCACTTTTGCCCTGTACCTTGTGTAGTCATTTGCATCACTGCAAAGTGGATATTAAACACTAATATTCTGATCTGGTTGTACTTTACTCTCACTTTGCACTGTATAAATGACTACACAAGGTACAGGAAAATAGTGAACCAGGTCCATTGACTACCTGTAAGGTTTACGCAGGCTAATAAGGGGTGCAGAATTGGGCCCCATCTTTCTATTAGCATTATTCTTAATAGAATGCTCCAAATATTTCAAATTTGATGAGTTGTGCTGAAATGAGTAACACTTAGTATGGGATCCAGCAGCCCCTCGTAGCTGCTCTATTTAGTTAAATTCTCTTTCATATTCCCAACTAGCACCTGCTGCCTTTCACACTGGCCTATTTTCAGTACTGTTTCCTCTTTTATAAAAAGTATGAAGAAATATAGGACATTTTGCAAATGAGGAAATAGAGCTTTTTTGACTGTGGCCTGTATTTCCCCATTCTCTGTGTTTGAATATGTGTGTGTGTTCAATAGAGGGCACCAGAACACAGGCTGTGATCAGTTGTTTCTGGTAAGTTTTATTTTTCCCCCTCTCGTGATCTGATGTAAGTGGGCAGAGTAAATTTGCTGAAAACGAAATCAGAGTGTTAACCTTCCACACACATTCAAGTGGGCATCTGTCATTGTATTAGGTTACAGTAGATACAGGAAATCTTTAGTTAGGATTAAGTTGTACTGTTCAGCCATATGCTGTTCTCCTCCAGCAGAACAATGTATAATATACCTAATAAAATCACATTGAAGAAAACCAGATTTTGGCCTTTGTCCAAATAAGACACACCACATGTTTTGCCTTTTGTAAATGTTCTCTCTTTAGCTTGGGCGAGGGAACAGTCCCCATGTAGCATACAGCATCTCCTCAAAAGCTATGTGCTTTCTTTTGTGTATCAATTGGAATTTTATTAGCGGTCTGCTCGGGTCTAATTTTAAAGGCCATCTAGACCACAGCTGACCTGAATCCACTCCGAATCTGAGAGTCTCAAGTCATTTTCATAATTGACCTGACCCTTATAGTCAGGCCATGTCAGGTTGCAAGGTCAGGGATGGAGTGGCAGGAACCAGAGCTAGCATAGCAGCATGTCCAGGATGCTGCAAAGAGACCCAGGTGTTTCTGCCATTCAGAAACCTGGCCCACACCCCTTCTCTCCCCTGCAGCTGTGCCAAGAAGCCCAGGGTTGCCCATACCTCAGTGGAGCCTCAGTCCCCCAAACTCCCAGCCAGGGCAGCCACACGGCAGGACAGACCCATTGCCAGGCACAGGGCAGCTCCCCTTCTCTCCTCCACTGCCACCTCCTGCCTGGCCCTATTGCAGGGTGGGTGGGGGCATGGGCCCAGGGGTGATGCAGGGAGGGTACCCATCTGCAGACCCCAATGAAAGCCTCCTGCTGTGCAGGAGGGGTGAGGTGCAGGGCAGGCAGTGCCTGGTGTGGGGTCCCAGCCAGCCTGTTGTTTCTCTCTGTTCACACCTGAACCGCACCCATGTGTGTCTTAAGGCAGCTGATGTGAATACAGCACCACCTCTCCTGGTGGCAGCACCTCCACCAGTCACTGACCCATGTAGACAAAGGACTGTTTACCACCACCCAACCAAGCCATCCCTACGGCTGCCTGTGACCCTGCGCCTGCCCCCAGTCTGCTCTGGCCTAATTTTAAAGCCTGACCCGAACCCAATCTAAGCATGTCAACTCACTTTCGTCTTCAAACTGACCTGAACCCAACACCTATAGTTAGGTCCCATTGGGTTTCGGTCGGGTTGCAAGACTCCGTATTTTATGCCCTCTTTCTGTAAAGGTCGAGATATTATAAATTTTTACCAAGACTGCTTACAAACCAAGATCCTTGTGACAACAAATAAAAAAGATTTTATTATCTCTAATTCAAACATAGGGCCTGGTTCCACAAACCCTTACTCATGTAAGGGAGTTCTTATGTGAGAGTAATGACTACTCACATGGGGAAAGGTTTGCAGGATTAGGACATTAATTTCTATCCTAGGTAGGCATAGGAAAAGTTTGACTTTCCTTTAAATCTGCCTACTCAGTTTTTTTCGGGTGATACTAGAATCATCAGTGTGAGCTGTGATTTTTTTTTTTTTTTTTAAATAGACTAACTGTGTGGGCCAGATTTTGATCTCATTACTGTAGATTTATACCAGAGCTGCCGAGGTCAGAATCTGTTCCTGTATTGGTACTTGAAATAATGAACAGGCTGATGTTCATTGAACATTGTGATAATTGCTGATTGGCTAAAAATTGCACACATGGTTAGTCAGTGCTGCCGCATCCTAATTGTATGTTACCTCCCCCTGCCTCCTCCACTTCTTCCTGCCTAGTTGTTTGTCTCATCTACATGTCATGTCTTGTCGTTTAGACTGGACGCTCTTTGGGGCAGGGACTGTCATTTTTTATGTGCTTGTACAGGACCTAGCACAATGGGGCCCCAACCTAGTTGGGGCCCCTGAGGGCTACTGTAATAATATTCACCAATACTAACAACAACAGGTGACGAAGCTTGCATGTCCTTGTTTGGAGGTATGAATATTTTGAACATAAAAACAAAAAGTTAGAACTTGGATAGTGCAGACACTTTATTTTTCATTTTGATTGCTTTTTAATTACATCCTTCAAGCAATATAAACGGCTGGTGCAGAAGGAAAAAAAGCAGAAGTTGTCATTTCTCAATTAAAGAGTAGACCAGGCATTCCAAGGGCATACCTAGGTGAAGAGTGCGTATATGACTGCTCACATGTTGGCTTACAGTGGTTGGTAAAGAACTCTAAATGTTTTCCCTTACAGATGTGGTGTGTGTGATTGGTTCAATGAACATTTTTCTCTAATTCTTCCTCTCTGTGTGTCTTCACTCATTTAACCTCCAGATGGCACTATTAAGCAGAAGAGAAAATAACTGTGAAATAATGAGTCCAATGTACAGTAAAATTGGAAATTGAATTATAGCTGCTGAAAAAGGACAGTAGCCTTGAGGTTCTGATCAACCTGTACCCTTATCAGTTTTGTTTGCTGTTGCCATGTGTTAGGTTACCAGCAAGTTAATAATAGTGCTTCAGCAGTTCAAGGCTTAGTAGAATTGCTGTGGACATGAAATAAAGCTAAAATGAATTTGTGTCCAATATCATTGACATTAGTGCTCATTACTTCTGTGGTGTAAAGCCTCAAACCATCTAAAATCAATTTTAAAGATTATCCATTATTTTATAAAGAAAAGAAAATACATTTCAAGCAGCAACAAAGCTGCAAGTATAGCGTAATCTCATGAACAGTTAGTTACTTGCGCTTTAGCCTGGGTGGCAGGAAGCTACTAAAGGTACAATACAGGAAAATCTTTAGGGAGACTAAAGCTTATGCACGTTGAATTTAATGGGCTGGCTTTTTACTATATTACTCTGAATTAGAAATGCAGACATTAGTATTGCAAAAATGTGAATCTCCTCACTGTTATCTGTTTTTAAACCTGGAACATAAAGCCCAGTAAGATTTACTTTAAGGAAACAAAAGGAATGAGTTTACGCCTCCAGTGCTTACGCTATGAATCTGTATTAATTGTGTGGTATGGTTGGGGTTTTTTTTTTTTCCTTTTTGTTTCATGATGTTTGTGTCATTTCTTGTTTGGGATTTCACGTTGACCAGGAGTGGCCAATGAATGATGGCTTTTCAAACTGTATTCATGAAGTTGTTGCTGTCGAGGAGGGAGGTGTGTGGGTTTGTAGGTTCTGTGGCTTGATTCATTTTTGTACACTATTAGGTGGTTTCTTTTGGGTTACTGAGAAGATATTTTTAAATGTACTGTGCATTAATACTTTGTAGGCATGGATTTTAAGAAAGACTATATTTGCGATGTCTATTTTTAAGAAAATTATCAGAATAAAAGCTGAGTTTTATCAATGTTTAAAAATGTCCTTATCTTGGACAGTAGCCAAAAGTGATCTCTGTTGCAGCCCCACTCTCTCAGATATATATAATTTCACATGGAATGTGATAAATCATTATGGGCCACTGCAAATATTTTTCATTACTGCAAACTTATCAATTTCAAGTGTGTGTGCAAACACACACAATACCCCAAAAATTAAAGTTTAATATTATAGGTCTATTTTCATTTTGCTTTCCTTTAACAGAAAGACAGAAATCCTTAAGTATATTACCATAATTAAAAATTATTAGTATATTGGTCACAATAGAGAACAATTTTCAGAGTTCATTTATGTTTAAAATATTACAGTCCAAACACATGGTTAAAATTGGAAGAACCAGTCTGTTATACCCTTCATGTTAATTAGGGTATTTATAATACAGTTGATTTTTATTTATTTTTGCTTTCACCAGTTCTTATGTTATTGTCTTGTATCCGATTATATTCAGTAATGTTGCCAAATAAATGGAAAAGATATTGATAACTAAAAACTAACTTAAATATTTGTAAGTAGGCGAACATTAATTCTGAACGGTTCTGGCTTGCTTAAATATACTGCAGTAAATTTGCACGCAATGTTAGTTGTTAGTGTCATAGGCCTTATATTGCAAATGCTGAGTATTCCCATTGAGCTCAAAAAGACTACTCCCATGAGTAAAGTTATGCATGCACATCAGCATTTTGTAGATATAGACCCTTATTGTCGTCTGCTGATCATGTTAGAATAGATCTATTGTGTAATTCGTTCCTTATACAAATATTGCAGGAGCGTTGCATTTTCAGAGTAGCAATGCTAATACTCAGATTTCAGTCCTTGTAGAGAAACTCTTAATTTTCCAGTTTTTTTTGAATGCATTGTACTTGGATTACACAGTTCACATGATTAAACAGGTTATGCTAAATGCATTTGAAGGCTTATTTTCACAAACATAAACTGCAGTTGAAGACAGACTTTTTCAAAAAACAGCTAAAATGAAGAGTATTGTCAGAACTTACTGAAAACATTTTATAAGCAGATTTACATCAATGTACATCAATGGCATTTTTACTATCCCTTAAATATATATAAATTTGTAAAAGTGTAAATATGTACTTCTAGTTTTTGTTGGTGCACATGCATTCTATTTCACAAGTATGTCAAAGTCCTGACTTTTCATGCTTCTAACCTCCTTTACCTTCTTCCACTCCCCCAAGAGAAATCAGGCAATTGAAATTTTAAAGTAGTTTAGTATTTTTAAATATAGACAATTCTTGAATGTAGACCAAATTTCCATAAGTGCATGTGCCTTTGCCCCCCCTTACAATCATTAATTGATCCACATGGTAATAACAGATGGTTAAATGGAAGAAATGCCCTTGAAGTTATTCTTAAAACAGATGTTCTTAACTATTAACTTCATGTTTTTACTCGCCTAAACTTGCAGATAATGTAATAAAAAGGTAACACATGCCTAATCATTTTATTATGTGCAGTGCATTCTGAAGCTAATTTGGGATTCATTTAAAAGCAGGACACCTTTGAGAAATTGTTCTAGTCATTGTGTGTTTTTCTTTTTTTAAAGGATCCTACAAAATGCATTATTGCTTTCGGACAGTAGACTTCACCTCTTCTTACAGACTCAGCTAAGTCCAGAAGATATTGAGGCTTGTGTATCTGGACAGACAAAATATTCCGTTGCTGATGCGATTCATAAGTTTGCCTCTTTGAAACGACGTTTTCCTATTGAAGAGGAAGAGAGAAAAAGAGGAAAAAATGATGCAGATTCTGATTCAGAGAGGTTATTTTCTTCCTTACATTCCGATATACATACATATATACATACACAGACTTCACTTTTTTGTTGATGTAATACTAAGATAATGAAAAAATTAATTGACTGAGATTTTATTGAGCTGTGACAGCTCATCATAGAAGTCTTCACACACACCTCCACACTGAATTAATGAATGCAGTAGAAATTCAATTATCTGCATTCTGATTATGTGAATTTCATTTAGTCAGACTTGAATTATTCGCGTTTAAATTATCTTGCTAAAAAAAATATCCAACTGCACTCCAAATGGCTAATTAAAAGTCCAAATTTCCTGTCTCTCTTTGTGACTGGAGATAATTAAAGTTCTCCTCTGTTACTCAGGCTTCGAGTGTGTTGTGAAAACCAATTTCCTTTCTTTATTTTTTATTTTTTTTGTCCCCTTCTCTGTAGTTCATCCTCCGGGCTTGGACACACCAGTGATGACAGCATTTCACATAGATGTAAAGCAAGCACAGTCCCCGAAGAATCCTGAAAAATCATTTGTATATTGCCATCTTAAGACCAGCAAAATAATGTGTTCTCTCTCAATTTTCAAACAGCTTTGAAACTGTTTCTTTGTTTGTTGCTTTTATTAAATTGCACTGATTTATATTTACATGTCGCCTACTGTATTTAGGTTTATGCAGCCATTAAAATCTTGACAAATATTGGGCTATTGTTGCTTTATTGCCAAGTATGGCTGATAAAATATTTCCCTGGGTGACGCTGTATTTTAGATCTTAAAAAAGTAAAGGTATTTTACATTAGTTTAAAAGTTGTGTATTAAATTAAAATATACTCAAAGCAACTTTGTGTACTTTATACCAGAGAAGTTTCATTCTAAACAGTTGTGTAACATTGGTAATGAAGTTATATAGACCACAGTATTAACTTTTTAAAACAGCATGGTGACTTAAGGAAAACAGAATCTGTACTGTATTTGTTGCTGACCATTGAAGATATAGACTTTCTCCAATATTTATGGAAAACTTGCTCTTATCATGCACAAGAGCCAGAGGCCAACATTTTCAAACATAGATGCCTAAAGTTAGGCACATAAATGTGAAATGATTTCCAGGGGTGCTGAAAACCTTCAGCTCTCATGGAAGGTAGCAGGAGTTATGATTGCTCCCTCCCTGTGAAAATCTGGCCCCACTGAAGTCAATGGGGCATTTTGCACTGACTTCAACGGAGCCAACATTTCACTCTCGGTATCAAACAGAGGGACCTATGTCTGAAAATGTTAGCTAAGTTGTTCTAGATTAACATTTTAAAGGAAGTGAAACTGTCTTTCCAAAACAGGGCTGCCCGGCGGGGGGAGGGCGGCAAGTGGGGCAATTTTCCCTGGGCTCCAGAGGGGCCCCCAAGAGAGTTTTCAGCGGCACTTTGGCGGCGGGTCCTTCAGTGCCGCCGAACACACGCGGAGTGAAGGACCCGCTGCCGCAGACCTGCCGCTGCTTCTTCCGCTCTGGGTCTTCGGCGGCAATGGTCCTGCCGTTCCATGTCTTTGGCGAAGTGCCCCGAAGACCCCAGGCCCCCTGAATCCTCTGGATGGCCCTGTTCCAAAAGGCTGATAGTCACATAGCTATAACACATTGTTCAAATATAGAACGCTAAGCTGTTGGGTACAAACTGAAATAACTGGAGTTTTTTATTTCACTTTTACTGTAGTCAACACATTGAAATATTGACTTTTTCACAAATGGCAGGCCTGGACACGTCATGGCTAGGCAGCAGTTCTGCGGAAAAGGACCTAGGGGTGACAGTGGACGAGAAGCTGGATATGAGTCAGCAGTGTGCCCTTGTTGCCAAGAAGGCCAATGGCATTTTGGGATGTATAAGTAGGGGCATAGCGAGCAGATCGAGGGACGTGATCGTTCCCCTCTATTCGACATTGGTGAGGCCTCATCTGGAGTACTGTGTCCAGTTTTGGGCCCCACACTTCAAGAAGGATGTGGATAAATTGGAGAGAGTCCAGCGAAGGGCAACAAAAATGATTAGGGGTCTGGAACACATGAGTTATGAGGAGAGGCTGAGGGAGCTGGGATTGTTTAGCCTGCAGAAGAGAAGAATGAGGGGGGATTTGATAGCTGCTTTCAACTACCTGAAAGGGGGTTCCAAAGAGGATGGCTCTAGACTGTTCTCAATGGTAGCAGATGACAGAACGAGGAGTAATGGTCTCAAGTTGCAGTGGGGGAGGTTTAGGTTGGATATTAGGAAAAACTTTTTCACTAAGAGGGTGGTGAAACACTGGAATGCGTTACCTAGGGAGGTGGTAGAATCTCCTTCCTTAGAGGTTTTTAAGGTCAGGCTTGACAAAGCCCTGGCTGGGATGATTTAACTGGGATTTGGTCCTGCTTCGAGCAGGGGGTTGGACTAGATGACCTTCTGGGGTCCCTTCCAACCCTTATATTCTATGATTCTATGACACAACTTTTTAACCACAAACATTTGTTATAATCTACTTTGCTCTTTATAGCAGCAACTATGAGTTGGCTTGTCTCAGAGCCTGTCAATACAAGGAAGAAACCATTGAAAAGATGCAAGAATAGAATGGTCTCCTGTGTGTCACCCACTAAATTTGTTAGTCTCTAAGGTGCCGCAAGTAGTCCTGTTCTTTTTGCGGATACAGACTAACACGGCTGCTACTCTGAAACCCATTAAAAGAACTGCTAAAAAAAAATTAAAGATGTTTCAATGTTTGTTTATATTTGATGTTTAACTGTTATTAAAAACAACGCAGTGGGTCTGATCCTGTTCCCATTGAAATAATGGCAAAACTCCCCTGGATTTCAGTGCTGCAAGTTCAGGTTCAGTATGGATTTTGTCTCTGACAAAGATGCGGTAGTTAGTATCTTTTAACCTGTAAATTACAGAAACAATATATAATTAATTGGCCAGCTAATAAAAGTTAGTGTGGATGTGTTTTTAAATCATCCAGCTGGGAATCTGTATAGTTTTAGAAAGGTGTATCTTAAGATCTTGAGGATAACATCTCATCTCTTAGGTAGTTACTCTGACCCAGTTTTCTCTTCATGGTAGCACTTTCATAAGATAAATATCTGTTTCTTTTGCTCAGTTTTGTTGAATTGCACAAATATATCTAGTTGCCATCTCTGCTTGTGTGTAGAAGAGTCAACAAAATATTTTCATATCACAGCACTAGCATTAATTAAAGCAACAAGTTATCATGGCAAGATAGCTGCTATTGCAAAGTGCGGACTTTTTTTGGAATATGTTGCCTCATTGATAGACTTATTATTTAGCAAAGATGCCCAAAACATCAGTGAAAAAATCTTGAAATGAACAAAAACTGAGAACTGGAATAATTTTTAGAGAAGGAAACTAATTATCACTTTGTTTACCATACTATTGGGGGTTTGGGTTTTTTTTTTTTTTTTAATGTTGAGCTAGATCATTGAATGCACTTTACGCTTTGTGGCCTGCTAACACACATTCTGACTGTCTGTTTGAAAGTAAAACAAATGTAAGAGTTGGAGAATCTTTGTGACTACTTTCTATAATTCAGAGATCTTGTCTTTTGTGTATTAAAGAGATTTTGCAAAGCAGCCTGTTTCAGTGATAAATACTTGGGATTCATAATAATTGTATTGTTATTAACTTTATCACACTCTTCACAAGTTATATCTGTGCTCTAAAATCTATTGCATTACCTTCTTCCTATCCTGCATGGAAATTAATTTAAAATGTTACTCTTTTGAGTTCTCTGTATACCTATTATTAGTGGAAACGTTCATGTTAAATGATAATGAAGAATATTCTGTTCTAGGGTTTGTTATGTAGCAAGAAAAAATTGTAAACATTGTAAATGTTTTAGGATATGTTTATTTTGTGAAATTTAAATATAAAACTTCTTAAAATTTTTGATTCGTGTGTGTTGTGATTTTAGCACTACATCAAATATTGTTTTTCTACAAGAAACATCTTTTTGAGGTTTTGATTCTTGGTTTTTGTTGTTTTTGACTATAAGTGACATTTCTGTCTAGTTTTTCAGTCAGGGTTTTTAATGTGCCACTCCTGCATCCAAAACCTTACATCACTTTAATTGTTCCTCTTTTGCTGCTTTGCTACACTTACACTTTTATAAGAAAGTTTAGTAGAAACAGAACTTTAAGTAATTAAATGACAAAAATAAATTGCTCTGTTTTAACTTGTAAATGAGATTTATTTTAGTTTTAAAATCCATTTCCTAATTTATTTTTGTCATGACTTTTAGTAACTCTCCACAGTTTTCTGTTTCTCACATATTTTTGTGTTTGCTATGTTGTTAAACAAACATAAATAGCTCCAGTCATTTACATTTTTGAATTGTAATGCATATTTAACTTAAGGATATTCTAAATCAGCATTCCAACAACCTGTTACTCATAATGCAACTGAAACATTTCTATAAACAAGGTAACAAAAATCCTCTTTTAAAAGAAAACAATTCATTCAATAACAGACAGCTCAGTTTTTATAAACATTAAGAGTAAGAAACTTGACAGTTATTTTCTCAACACACATTTCTAAATTCTGTACCCCCCTTTTCCAAATTCTGTGCATTTTTGTTTCTAGAAATATTTTTGTGATTTGTTGAAGATAGGTTTTCAGAACTATATTAAAAAGTATCCAATTATATTTGTGACATTATCTGTTTGTAATACAAGAAGCGTGTAAAGTTAGCAACCCTTTTAAGGGCTGGGTAAAATAAAACCATACGTTTCTAAGTAGTTATAACAACAGTAGTAGGATCAATAATGATGATCAATGTTTATCCCAAAAAGGTGGGGTTTTTGTTGTTGTTAAACTACTTTTACAATGCTGCACTCTTTCTTTTAAACACAAAAATGTAATTCAGTACTTCCACTGTCAAGACTGATTCTGCGCATGAAAGGCCTTCAATACTTAAAGATAGACTTTCCCTCTTAAAATTAAAAATATTCCATTGTAGGTTAAACTGCTTTTTTGCCTATTTGAATAAACCATATTTAGAAGATAACTGAATTATCTTTTATAACAGGAACCAAAAATACTCCTTTTGGTTTGGAACATTTAGAGTTCTTGAATTGTGAGATACCCATAACGTATATGTATATATTTCTAAGTATTCCTAATCCTATCAATTTTCCATGAGCAATTATACAATATTATGTTTTGCAGTTTTGCTATTTTATTGTAGGATTGCTGGTGGAAAGTTAAATAATAATACCTGGTTGATATGATAACTCTACAATCTAAGTTTGCAATTACAATATATACTACTTAAAATCATCATCTACAGTTTGGCAAATACAAAACTGTTCCAGTTCCATGAGGAAATCTCTGCAAGTACTAAGGCAAAGCTGAGCACATCTACTGGAAATCGTATTTAAAAACCTGCAAATCAGAAACTTTCCCAACCCAAATATACTTTCCAAAACCTTGCTCTCTCTTGGTAGCTGTATGTTAGTAAGCAGTTCCCCTTGCCTACAGAATGGCAAACCTTTCACTAACTGATCCTGTAACTAAACCTTTTCCTAATTGTTAGGAACACAGTTCCCCCAGTTTTTTTTTTACATTTGCCACCAATTGATCTAGCAGCACAAACTCTTCCAGCGCCTGCTCCTTTCCTCTCCTTGCCTGTGCTCTCCCGCAAGGCCACCGTGAAGCTTTCAAGCTACCTTTTCCTGCCATGAATTCCTAACTTTATAAATTCCCCTCACTAGCCATCTGGCTCCATGCTAAGAGGCAAACAGTTCCTCCAACAAGTGCCGAGTCATCAGCAGCCTCCCCCCCCGCCCCCCAATCGCCTCCTGCCTTTCCTCCTGGAGGCAGCATTGGCAGCCCTTTCAGTTGAGTTTTGCTAGTTTCTTACCTCAGGGCCTTCATCCTCTCTTCCCCCCCACCCCACTTGCTGTCGCTTTTCCTGCAGCTGCAAGCCCAGACTGACTGTGTGTGCAGGGGGCTCGCGCGGCAGCTCGCTCCCTCCCCGCCCGTCAGTGTGTGTTCCAGGCGCCTCCATGCGCCCGGCCTCTGCCGGGGGCTGTTTGTCAGGTAAAGAAGCTCGCCGGCCTTGATCCGGTAACTCGTAGCAACCGCAACCCATAGCAACAGTGGGGGAAGGAGGGGGGGGCGGGATGGAAAAGGGAGGGGAGGGAGACGCAGCAAGTTGCCGCTTCTCCGCCCCCAGAGCCAGAACCCCGGAGTCTCGTGCGTGAGATCTGGGTCTCCACACCCACCCGCCCCCACTTGAAAAATACAAAAGCACCAGGAGATGCTGCCGCCTGGGGGGGGGGGAGAGGGGGGAGCCAGCAGCATCCCCCTCAACACCCAAGGAAGCAGAGTTTGGAGGAGCGTGGGGGGGGGGGTGCCTGGGGAGCTCTGCAGGGATCGAACATTTTCAGGGCGCTGCTGATTTATTCTTAAATGTATCTTCCTCCCCCCGCCCCGAATGTAAAACAAAAGGCTGGGAGGGGGGCGCGTGCGTGCGAGCCAGGCTGGGAGAATGGGAGGCTGCCTCTAGTGCCAGTCCCTGGGCCGGTGGGATTCTTTGTTAGGCAGAAGCCCAGGGGGCTGGGCTCCTCGGGGCAGGCTGGAGGAGGCTCCGAGCCAGAGGAAACCGTGTTGGTGTTGTTTTTTTTTGGGGGGGTGTGTGTGTGTGTGTGTACAGGAGTGCGGGATCCGAAAGGAGTGTGCCGGTCCCTTCGTTTTGGGGTAGCCCGCTCCTCTCTGCAGTTACATTTCAAATCCCAATCAACGCAATTACCAGAGCGTGGCCAACACTTTCCTGTTTGCTGCCCTCAATATCCCCACCTTCCATCAAATCTTTACGGCTTTATCTAGTTGCAGCGACACTTGTGCCCCCACGAATTCTTTCCCCCCGGGACTGGAAGGAACTGATGCTTTGTGAGGTGGGTTTTTTATTTTTAAGTAAAAGACTAGCAAAATAACCTCTGTGCATTGCTCACATGACCACAAGCCAATGCAATTTGGTCAGTCCTTCCTTTACATTAGATTAGAAAACCTAGTGCCTGCAATGGGAGTGCAGAGACTCTGCTGCGAAGAGAGCGTCGCCTCTGTGCATGATGATGGGGAGACTCTATCCTGCCTGGGCACGAGGCAGGCACTGCTTCCCACCACCAAGTTTGCCTGACCCCATTGGGCCGAGGGACCTCTTGGTACCTCTGTGTGTAATGCACCTACCGGCCGGAGGGAGGCGCTGCCAGGCGGAGAGCCCCCGCGGGGAGATTGAAGGGGCTGGGAGCAGAGCCCAGAGCTGAGCCGCCGCCACCTGCCCTTCCCTGGGACATTCCACTCCAGCAATCTGTTCCCCAGCCCCTCTTAACAATGCATTAAATCTCTGTGGTGGGTGACAGGGCCCTTCTGGTTTGTATGGGACCCTCCCAAGAGGTGGAGATTACGAGTATGCACCAGACACAGAGAGCTTAATGAGTTCATTGCATTTAAAACACACAGGCACACACACACAACCCAGCCAGTTCCCAAACCTGGGCATCTCTTTAGCCAAGGAAAAAGATCCATTGCTACAAAATACATATAGATCCACCTTCCCCATGTGCAGTGGCAGTGTGCTGGGGTGTTAGATTGTGTGTGAGCAGAGACAATGGCTTTCTGAGGGGCCCACTCCTTAATCCTCCCCCCCATACACACACAGCAGCTCTAAGCCCTTTAATTAATTTATTTTTTTTAACAAAAGCAATTACAGAAAAGTGAAAATCTAACGCGTGACATTTAACACTTCGCTGTGGCAGGCAGGCTGCCTTTAAATGGGGGCCTTTCTGCGGAACAACAAGAGCCAAAAGGCCCTGTGTCGTGGAGTAATGTAAGACACAATCTTGCCTGCAAAGGCACAATGAATCGGGAAGGATTTATGTAATTAATTGACCAGTCTTAACCTGTTATCGTGATGTAAGGAATTTGGAACTCATTAATTTGGGCGCTGACAGATTTCATATTAGAGCTGGCAAATATGGATTGAACCTCTTATTCTTGCAGCAGCTGGAATTTCCATGACAGTGAGGATTAGTGAAGAAGACCTATTGCTGGAGTCAAACTGCCTCTTTTGTAATCAGCAGCCCTGCTCTGCGTTAAAGGGATAATGGGTGATAGGGGAGACAAAAAAAGTGTGTGTGTGCGTGTGTGGGGAGGGAGAGAAGATATTACCCTGGTGGTGTAGGGAAGAGTGGCCCTTTTGCTCACTCTGCTAATATTTATATAGGTCCCAAGCATTTGCAGCTGAATGAAAACCTTAATACCCATCACAACGAGAGTGCAGCTACCCGGAGCTAAAAGGAGAGGACAAGGCCACAGGCTGAAGATGTTCTGGGGGAAGTTTAAGGTTTAAAATGTGAGGAGGCAGGCGTTTCTGCAAAACATTCTCTGCCTGTAGCGCAGAGCCTGAGAGTCAAAGGCTGCAGAAGCCAGGAGATTCTAGGTTTAGGCCAAAAGGGAGTTGGTGCAATGCTTTAATTGTAAGTGAGCACACCAGGGCAACTCATAAATGCAGGCTGGCCTTCCCTGGAGCACACTTACTGTCTCCTAGACAGTGGGCTACACACAGTCTTGTGCAAAAATAATGAATCTGTTGAGGTTTCTGTACTTTAATATGTGCCTTAGTCCCTCTGTGCAGAATTTATGAGTCATCTCTTAAGCAGTGTGAAAAGGTAGTTTAATGGTTAAGGGATTGGATCAAGAGATCGAGGTTAAATTTCTGGCGTGTCCACAGACTACTGGTGTGACCTTAGCAAAGCTTTTAATTCGTCTGTGCCTCAGTTTCCTATTTGTAAAACGGAGGATAATAATACTGCCTTTCCCACCCTTTGTCTGTTTTCCCTATTTAGGGACTGTCTCTGACTATGTGTTTGCGCAGTGTCTAGCATAAAGAGGCCCCAATCTCCATTGTGGTCTCTGGGCACTAATGTAATAATAAGGTATCCAGACTCCGGCTTATATCTGGAAGAAAACAGTCTTAAACCTTTTATCTTTCAGTGGCAAGTCATAAATTATTGCGCAGAAAACCAATAAAGTTCTTAGAAGGAACACTAAATGCACTGAACCAGATCCCATCTACTTAAAAATCACATTTCTGTCTATAAAGTTTTTACCTACTATTGTTACTAATACAATTTACTGAAAGACGTTAAAGAAAAAACATTTCTCCCTTTTTTCTGATTTCTCTACTTTGTGCATTTGACAGCAAGTTTTGTATCTAGTCACTTTCAGTGTTTCCCCAGCATAGTCAGTGCACTAGGTCTCTCTTTTATTTGTGTGGGTCTTCTGCACAATAGCAAAAGAGAGAGAACAGCATTAAAAATAGGCAAATATGGCTGTGAAACCACAACATTTGACAGGGGGCAAATGTGGTGCCAAAAATACAGTTAGATTTGTGCTCTTTAAGCAGACCTATCATTTATTATGCATTTGGATAGTGCTTAGCACAATGGTGGCCTTTAGCCTGCCCATATAAATGTTAGAAAATAATAGTGATCATAGGTTTAACTCATTTTATTTAAAAAAGACCAGATTGCAAGTTGATCATGCCCCTTTAAAGTGTATCTTTTTATTGCTTCCTGATAAATTAATCTTAACATATGCCATGGAGATTTTTATTTATCCACAGGTAAGATAACATTTATCTTTTACAGATTTACATGAATCTGTCCTAATAGTTGCTTAATCGATTCTGTACTTGCTTTTCTTAAGTGATCAAGAACAGCAAACGGCTCAGTTTACACTGTAAGTATACATTTTACCAAATTTTTACTCTCATTAAGTGTTGATCAAGCGTAACTAATTTCCTTGTTAAATTAAATGCGCTAGCATATGGTGAAGCTTAACGTTATTTAAAAACAACGAAACAAAGCATGTTTAAGGTTTTGTTTATTTGTAGGTCCTGTATTTTTAAGTATTTTCATCCTCTTTGATTCTTTCAGGTGACCAAATTCAAAGTATGAATCATTTACATTCTTTTCTTAATATTACCTTATATTTTGGATGCTTGCAAAATGAAAGTTAGTGGTTATTATTAGTAATAGTGAAGGTTTTTGCAAGATATATGTTGATTAAAAAAAACAAACATCATGTCATAGAAACTTTGAGATCAGATTTTTATTTTGTTTTGAGATGATTAACATACAATGCAAGGCAAAAACTATGTATATTATAATTCAGTATAGTCAAACCTTCCAGACTAATTCGTTTTTGCTTCAGATATTTCGTACCTGAAGAATACAAACATATATGGCTCATTAAAAGTTTAGTTTATTTATAGAGGGTAAATACAAATTTCTACCTAGACCCAATGAAGGATGAAATGGTGGCCCCATTGAAGTCAATGGCCAAACTTCCATTGATTTCTGTGGGGCCAGGATTTCATTCAAATGGTGGATTTTTACCATTATTTTAGTACCACCTTGTTTGCTGCTTATGCTCAAATTGAAAAAGTGCCCTTTCCTACATGCAGCTTAGGTTAAAATTATGTCCTCTTTGAACCAACAGGTGGCCTTTTTGAATGTAGTTAATTTTTGCCTGTAAAACCGATGAAAGTCTGATTCGAGTTTAGGTATATTTTCAAATACTATCAGGATGTATTTTTATTTATGCAAAACATGGTAGACAAACTTTTGATTATTTTGTTTTCTAATCTGTATTGTAATGAAATTGATTTCATGCAGTAAACGTTTTTAGATGTCTACTTTTTCTCTTGGTCCTGGTTCTTGAATGTTGAATAATAAATAGTAATGATGATGAGTAAGGCTGTAAACACCATTCTCATTTCTGTTTCTCATATTTCTCCTCTCAAGTTACATCTATCTATGCTCTTCACTGCAGCGTATAGCTACCCATTGTTACCCTAAGATCAATCCAGTGCCAGAGGGCAAGGACCTCACTGGTATCAGGTAATGAGTTTCAGCTGGCCTGACCAGTTCAGTGTACCCCAACTCATTATGGTTATAAACTATATCTAAAAGGTATAATGTAATATGTCATTGGAAATCTAATAACTCACTGATCATTAATATTCTTGTGTAGTGTATGTTGTGGTGTGTATTAAGAGTTATGGACATATGCTGAAATTATGACTAAAGTGTGTTTAAACCAGGCATGTCATGGGGAGTTGGTAAACAGGTCTATTTTAGACAAAGGAAAGTGTTTGCTTCTCTGACCAGTCTGGTCTTCAGGCAGACACCATTTACATAAAAGGTAAACAAAGCTAACAAGAGGGGAAGGAGTCGGCTTGGCAAGATGTCTACACACCAGCAGTAGAGAGAAATTTTATCTGAGCTATCAAGAGAGGGGTCTGAACCTCAAGTGACAAGCAACTGACTCAACTGATTATGTACATATTACTGTACAATAAAAGTTTAACGAGTGAAGTGTTTTCTGAAAGTTTAAAACCCACTGATGATTCATATAATTGTTAATTCTATGTATTAATACTACATAAAGAATTATGAATACTTCTTTCTGTTATGCTTTACACTCTGTGACCAAACAAACATGTCTCTCCCAGACAGAAGGGACCATCACAGCAATCTATATGTCACCAATGAAATTAAGTAAGGTGTGACAACAACAATGGAAGCTTCATTTACATTAAATCAGCAAAGGAATGGGAAGCCCACAGGAAGGGAAGACCAGCATGAGGTCAACCTGCCTCTTGAAACAAGGTCACTAAACTGTGAGAGATTTAAGCAGAGATAGAAAGCCATTTTGTCATCCATCACTGGACAGACACAAGAGGCCAGAGCTCTTGCAAGCTGAGAAAGATGGGTCCTTCAACTAAGGAGGGATTGCAGTCTCTGAGAACTGAATATAGGTGAGAAACCTGCATTGGCAAAGATTTTTCACCTTGGAAGACAAGGGAACCCAGCACCTTGTGCTTCTGTGGAAGGTCCTGATTGAAGGAAAGTCAGCCATGGCTGGGAAGAAGAATGACTGTCAGGAGGAACCATCTTGAAGAAAGCCTGTTCTGTGCTAGATTTTAAGTTTTAGACTATGCGTTTTCACTTTTATTTGCTTGTAACTATCTCTATTTTTATTTCTTTCACTTGGCATCACTTAACCATGTCCTATTGTTAACAAATCTGTTTTATTTTTACTATAAACCAACTCTGTGTTGTTTGAAGGGAAAAGTTTATTTACCTCAGTCAAGTTAATAAGCTGTAATGTGCTTTTGTCACTTGCAGAGCACACGGTTTGGGAAAACTTGGGACTGGAAGTGTGTTGAGGTCACCCTGTAAGAAGTAACTAAGGCTGGTGGTGGCCAGGGTGGGGCTGTTGTGCTATAGACAGGATGCTGGAGCTGGAGTTGCTGATCCAGGGATGTACAGCACACAGACACTTGGGTGTGACCTGCATGTTTTTCTGCTGGCTGCTAGTGTCTAGGCTGTGAGCTACAGTAGTGGGGCATTTCATGGACCCAGGGTTACAGGGCAGGTTGTGACTCAACCCCTCACTGGTTTGGATTGCACCCCATACACTACACACTATGCCAGTAGTGTGCAGTGTAGATGGAGCCCTAATGTGGAATCAGAGTGTTTCCTCCCCCCCCCCCCGCCCAGGGGATAGTATGGAATGGCTATTGCAGTTTTAATGCATACGCTAGCTGTTTCACACTAACTAACCTGTGAATTCCCCATGTAGACAAGCCCTCAGTGTTTTTTGTAGACACAGGACTATATTTTGCTTTTTGTGGTATTTAGCAATATTTGGGACCCATTTCTTCTCCCTGGGGAATTTAGTATAAGTCTAGATGGGTTGTAAAGTAACACAGCGGTACTTTCGCCCGCACTCTCAGAGTGAAATCCTAACTCCATGGAAGACAATGGGAATTTTGCTACATTCATTTCACCAAGCATCAAGATACAGCTTCATCCATACCGTGTACCTTATGTATAGCAGCTGGTTGGATAGTTTCATAGTATAGGGCTGGAAAATGCATTAGACACGCTGTTCATGTTAAGCTTCCCAATAATTGCTACTTCTTGGTGATATAAAAGATCGCACTTCAGTGTCCTTTGTTATTGCTGCTTTGTAAAGGCTAAGGAAATGGGGAAAGAAGCAGAATATGACTTCATCTATCCAGAACAGGAAAATCATTCTTAGCCCATAAAATACAGAACTGTTGTTAAAAAAACCTTGACCACTGTATACTATCAGTTGATCTTGGTGATTGAGTTTTGACGGCAGATCTAAAACACCTTTTTGTTTGAGTATCTTCACATCACTGACATGTGATGCTGAAGGAGGGATACAGGGCAATTAATAAAAATACTTTATATTTCCTCTAATGCTTTCCATCCAAAGATCTCAAAGCACTTTGCAAACAATTAATCAAGTCTCAAAACACCTCAGGAGGTAGGTACTATTGTTTTACAGATGGGAAAACTGAGCCATAGAGCAGTTAAGTGACTTGCCCATGGTTGCACAGAAAGTCTGTTGCGATCTTGGAAAGGAATAGCAATTGTCCGTTGCCTATTTCTGTGTTATAAAGGACTTCCCAATGGGAGATGCTAGGTAACAAGCTCTTTTGAGAATCTGGCCACAATTGTGGATGCAGAGTACTTTTAAAAATATGATTTCTGGGGCCTCAATTTTTGAATGCCCAACTCAAGACATCTCAAAAACACCTAATTTTCAGAGGGCAATGAGCACCCATCCACTCAAAATCAGGTCCCTTTTGGTGCATTTCAGGTTGGGTACTCAAACACCAGGGCATCCAAAATCACTAGTCACATTTGATAACATTGGCCAAAGTATTTTTCAGGCTACAGCACCCATAGTAGAGTTCTGTGTTTATTTTGGGGATGCGAGAAGCAGCGTACGCACCTTGCTGATTACAGAGTCAGAGAAGGGGAGAGAAGACGGAGGTAATTAGTGTATGCTTCTACATATTGGTTAAATGGGCAGCATCAACAGAATTTCCATTTAGGGAAACTAGTAGCAATGTTGTAGTCTTGTTAATATCAATTGGAATTGGTGCCTGAGAAAGCAGGATTGGTGTTGATTAGAAATTGCAGGAAAGATATTGATTTTGGGCCAATCCTGCAGTCATTAGTAGCCCCTAATAACGTTATTGGGACTACTAGCATAAGTAAGGACTACTCATTGAGTAAGTGTCTTAAATATATCTTATAATAAATCTGGGCCACACTGGGCTATTAATTTCAAGCAGAACTCCCCATAAGTGGGAGTTCTGTTGTTCAAATTATGCTATCATATGGCCCTCCATTATTATTTCCTCATGTTATAATAAAATTAGTTCTTGAAAATTGATCTTATTTTACAACTTATCATTTTAGAGATATAAAACTTGGTAGCATATGACAATCAATTTAACCAAATATATTGAAAATGTATTGAGATATATATTTTCTTTTCTGAAAAGGTCTTTTCCCCTTAATGCCATTTGTACAGGTTTCTGGCCAGGAAGAATTATGCAAACAGCTTGTATATAAAAACAAAACAAAATCTTGTTTCTTATTTCACAGGTATGTGTTGCATGTTACCAGAAATCACATGCACTTACAGAGTAAGATTTTTGTCTTCCATTGCTAACAGAGAGGCCATCAAGCAATTACAGAGAAACATATTTTCTTGTTCATACTTAAGACACATTTCTGCAACTTTGACTGACAGAAAGAGTCCTTATGCCTATGACTAAGACACCCTTGAATAGGATTTTACAGGATTGGCCCTGATTTTGTATTCTTCACATAAAACAATACAGCTTCTTTTCATTAGCATTAAACTATGCCGGGGCTGGCATAAAGACAGCCTGAGACTGAAGGAACCACAATTGACTCCTTTACTCCCGCCCACCCTCTGCTGTGCCCATTGGTGTCAGGGGCTGCATCTGAGGACTTCAGATGCTTTGCCATATGTCTGTCTGTCTCCCTATCTAATCACAGTGGCCTCTGAATGCATTACAATAAATTTAATAAAGGCCGGAATCTTAAATAATTGGACTCTTGTTCTCTCCCTCTATTCCATGAGCCTGTAGTAAGAGGCTCTTTCTCTTCTTTCCCTTGAGTAACATCCATTCGCTTAGTATGATTTTCATATTAGTCTTCCCCTCTTTGTTTCCCATCTCCCTGGGTGGGGTTGGTTCTGGTGGGAAAGATATGGGTCTTACATTTCCTTCTGAAGATTCACTTGCTTAAGTGCTTTGCTGGCTCAGGGTCAGAGAGTTCAACATTTGCAGGATTGAAACCATAAAGATCAAGGCCAAAACTTGGAGTTCTATCCAAAATTCTTTGGGAAGTCGGTGCAGTATGCAGAAAGCATTGAGGGGCTGTGTTTGCATTCACCTGTGTTACTTAACAGGGTAGTTGTCATATTGTGCACCAGCTGAAGTTTCCTCAAAGACATTGGATTAATTCCCAGCTACAGTGCAGTGCAGTAACAGGCAGGAGGTCACAAATGTGTGGATCATTGTGGCTTGGTCTATGTCTGTTTAGATGAGGTTTAGCCTTCTGGCTAGCAGGAGGAAGATGTTCCTGGTTTAGAATGACCCAGAGACTGTTCATTCTCTGAATGATTGGAGGAGCAACACCCTCAGTTATTATCATTTTGGCCAGTTCTCTGAACTCTTTCCCTGTTTCACTAAACTCATGTCTGTGTTGCTTTGGTGTAGTTTTCACTGGCTGTTCTTCAACCGCATGCTAATTTTGGGATCCCTGATGGGAGCGATGTCTAAGATCTGGGTGTTGTCTGCATGTTTCTGGCCTGTGAGTCCATGATGTTTCACAGTCTCTCCCAGGCTGAAGTCTCAGAGCTCTCCTGTCATGTAGGAAGGTACCAATAGTATATGAATGTAGAAACTTGAAGTACAGAGAGTTCAAGGGTTTGACTTACCTAAGATCACATGGCAAGAGACAAATCCTCCCTTTACTTACAAGATTTAGAAAACCCTAGGGGTCAGTATGACTGTTCAAGTGAGAAAGGCAAGCAGGACGTCCTGAGATGTGCAAAAATTATCTTCTGTTAGAGGTGAAGGTACTCATTTCCTTCCAGGAGGCCCTCAGCATCTTTCAGGATTAGGTGTATACATTGTAAGTTCTTCTGGGCACGGACCTTGCCCTTGCCCTTGTCTGTGAAACACTCATTTGATGCTATGTATGGTAAATAATAAATAATGACTTTAGACACCTGCTGCACATGGGATTATGAACTGATTCTCCCTCCTGATTAATTTCCCTTTCCAAGATGCCAACTGTGCGGTTTTCCTGGAATATGTCAGTAGCTGGTATGACGGCCTCTGCTACTTTCTTTTACACTATACAGCATTAACTGTTGGGGTACTGTCATCTGCCATATACAACATATTTTACAGCACAGAAGAAGAATTTTAATAAGACCTCCAAGGGGCTTGCTGCCATTTTTTAGTGGAAAGGTTTCCTACAAAGAAAGTGCACTGAAGTTCCCAAGAGACAGCAGGAGAAAACACTCCCACTGAGAAGAGCCTGTGTCATCCCATTTTATTGTCTATATGTCACTACAACACTAACATGATTCTGACAAGCTGTTCTTTTCTGCCTTAGCTAGTGCTGCTTAATGTCATTTTCTTGGTTGAACATCTTCATTTCAGACTTGTTACAAGGCATTAACTAGTTTCTAGGTTTCCGCATGTTGGCTGTATGTTGCTTTGAATAACATTCTCCTTTCTCCTTCATATAAGGTAAACCGCTCATTTCCTTGATCCACATTTTTTGTAGCACATCACAGAAGGAAAAGCTCTGTGATGTCTCCATCCAGATTAAGCATTTTAGGATCACATAAATGTGTTTGACGGGCAAACTAGACAACACTATTTCAATGAGTTACAAATAACTGGTAAAAGAACATTGTCCATGCAGTGACGCCAAATACTATACATTTAGGCCATCAGAGTTCTACAGTAATATTATTCTCTCTCATTGGTAAACCACCAGCTAGTCCATTTCTTAGTGCAAAATTACTGAGAATATCCTTTGAAAAGCAATGGGCAGCTCATCCAAGTGTTTCTCTTATTTTTGCCTGTGTATACGGTGAGTACATCATGTTTGTATCATTCTAAATGTTGTTTGTTTTGTTTTGGACTTAACACTGTTACAGGAGAAGTGGATCATTCTGAGAGTTGGTAATCAATAACCTGGACCTTACTCAGAGAAGCAATCCCATTGAGGCCCCTCCTATAAACATGCATGTGGGTGGTCCTTATGGGTCCTAGTCTGATACCTTTACTTGCTCAATAGCACATGATTTCACAAATAATCCTATTGACATCAAGGGGTCTATATGTGGAGTAAAGTATTGGACATGAATAAAGGTATCAGGACCTGGCTCTGTTTAATTCAGAGAGACTGTTGTGAGTACATGTTTGCAGGATCTGATCCTACCCTAAGTGATGAACCTTGTTTGCAAAACAAATGCAATGAGCTTTTAAAATTAAAGGGCTGAATGCTGCAAGGAGTGGCTTCGTTGAGATGAAAGTACCCTCTCCCCCTCCACGGAGATGGAGTGGGGGATGGCGTTCTGCCTTGGCTGGTGCCTAGCAGCTGACTTAGAACTGGTGCTCACCCCTGAGTGACATAAGTTATATTGACATAAATGGTAGTGTAGACAGTTAGCAGGTGTGCTTCAGCACCTCTTTGGCTTGTACCAAATGTGCACAACAGAGTAGGGTCTCATTTTTGGGGCCTGATCCTTACTTGCCTCAGAGTTATCTTTTGAAGTCAAGGAGATTACTCACATAAGAACTGCGCATGTGAATATGGGTTTGCAGAGTGGGTTTGTGTTCCTGAACTAATATTGCTTCACACCTCAATTATAGTCAGCAGCTATAGGGTTAACCAACAAATTCTCTTCTTTCTCACATTGCAGTGCTCATTCATTCTCCACTAAAATATATATTGTAAGAAACTGAATGCTTTAGAAAGTTTGACCAAAAGCTGATAAATCAACTGTTTTCCAGATTTAACTTTTAATAGGGAACAGTGATATTTTTTGTGCATTCAGATAACAAACTCCTAACTACTAAATTAGGCACATTGAGTTTTTGTTTCATTTTGCTTTTAAATTGAACCTGAGAAGCTGATGTATATGAGTTGCCCTGTTCTGAATCTTTGTCATCTCAGACAGCTCTGCTTATTGCCTGCTCATTTCACAGAGATCTATTTCAAATCAACTCATAAATTATTAATCATACAAGTGTAGGTCAGAGAGACACTAACCCTGACAATCACACCCTAAGATTCTCTCTTTCGCATCAGAAATAAGAAAGGAGATAGGAATAATCAATATTCAACAACCGAGGTATATCTCACACAGATATGGTTATGTGCACTCAGAAAAAAAAATCGTATCTTTACAAAACCTGTCAGGTTGGCATTAATCTTGCATGATGAATAATGTGGCAATTTATGAATTTTTAACACCTTTAAAATGATGAAATTGTGGGAGGTGATATCCAAAAGTAAATTTGATCAAATCCGAGAATATTTCTGATCAAATGGAGAGATTGAATAATGTGTAGAAAAATATTTAAACATCAATTTAGCTCACACAGCAAGCAAGAGAGTTCAGACAGGTTTGTTACTAGGAAGAAGTTCTGGTCACAAATAATTCACTTGAATATTTAATTATAATGTAAAGCTAAAGCAGTAAAAGGTAACAAACTAAATCCTGTAAGGTGTTGAGTGCCTCCCATGACTGGGAGTTAAGGGCGCTAGCAATTCACAGGAGGAAGGCTGTACCATATAGGCTGTTGGGCCAGACGGTGCTACCCTGACTCCCACTATGTAGTACCTTACTTCACGGAAAGCCCCACTGGTTTCAGTGGAACTCCTTGCAGAGTAAGATACTAATCAGAGTGAATAAGGGGACGGAGGGAGAATCTGGCCCTTTATTAATACTGGGGTCTGAACCTGAGAGGTGCTAAGCACCTGTGACTCCTATTGACTTCACTGCGAGTTGTGGGCATTCAGCACAGAATCAGGTCTTTGTTCTGATGAAAGAAAACACCAGATCATTTGCCTACACATTTATTTATTCATTTTTGAGAGAGGCACAAATTATTGCTATTGGCTAATAATGAAAACTATGGGACCAATCCTGTGCCAGCTGAGGAGTTTGCCATCGACTTTAATGGGAGTAGGGTCAGACCTTATCTTTTAAATTCCCTAACTTTGAAATTGCCTGACAAATACCAAACCAAAATGTTTAATTTATTAGCTGTCAGGAAGGAATTACTAACATTTTATGATTATTAAAAATAGTTACAAGTTTTCCAGGAACCATGGAACAGTTGTACATTTTAATTTTTCATTGTAAGTAAAATAAAAATGAAAATCAAGAATTTTATTTAGTAACAAAAAGCATCAACCCTTCAAAATGCAAACATTTTATTCAGTATTTGTTGAACAGAAAATAAAATGTGTTTGTTTCCACAGATTTGAGGAGAATTAACATGTGTCTGATTGTTAATATTTGATCCTTCTTTAATTATTTATGATGCCAAGGAATGAATCTGTCAAGTAAATAATGAAATGCGTACATGCAGCATATGTAATTAGGTTAGGTGCATAAATCCAAAGTGTTCACTTTGTAGTTGTCAGTGCAAAATTTATTAATAATGAGAAATGCTAAATGAAGAAAATCTCTAAGTCTACTCATTAGCGTAGGTTTGAGAAGTTGCTGAAAAAGAAAGTGACCATTGGTCCTCTTTAGCTGCAGTTCATAGTTTAAAAACGTTGGTAAACTGCTGTCCATTTTGCTTTTCCCTGCTTTGAACTTGTAACAGGAGCATCCTCTAAGAAGGGTGTTGAGAATGCATATTTTAATTTCACTTTGCAAATAAATGTACTGCTATCTGACTATAGTAATGTATAGGTAGAGATTTTCTGCATCCACCCAGCACTTAAAATTCAATAGACTACTGCATGTTTTATTTCTTACGAGACTGAAGTTCCAATAAACACTAAAATAAAGCAAACCAACATTTGGGTGTTAGAATGTTAGGATCAGAAATGTGCAATAAATTCTCATATTTCAAAAACAACAACAGGAACAATACTGCACACAGACTCATGAGTGGAGTGATGCTTGCCATGTTATGTACTTGCTTGCATTGTGTTCTGTGCACTAGACAGAATACGTCACACATAGGAGTGTGTGTCTGTGTGACGTGTGTAGTTCATTTAAAATACCTCTTAATTGTGGAGCAATGAAAATCCTCCTTTAGCTCACAGTCCGAGTCTGTAGCCAGTTATAACCTGACTCCACAAGCTATGTTTAGCTGAATGAAGACTGGAGCATCTGGATATAAGTATTAGGCCATTGGGTAGTTGTGTCCACATAATCAAAAAATTTAATGTATCACTTTATTAGCATGCTTTCAACTTGATGTCTAGCTGCCTATACCTTTTGTGTGGGAAAACAAAAAATGGTTCTATTTAACAATAACAAAAAAAAGCTATGAGTTCATGTATATTGGGGTACCACAAAAAGTGAGAGAAATACCTTTTGGAGACAAACACCTGTAATTGTGGGACTCAGAATGAACATTTGTCAATCCCCAAATGATATTCTGAGCTTAACTGCTAAATTTATGTTTAAAACGTCTTTCAATATGATGTCTGAAGCACATAATTAGCACAGGCAAATAATAAGACAATTATCTACACATGAGATGCTAACACATCAGTGGCATTCTGTTGTATTTTAATACACAATATATCATATGAACCTCGAATGAAAATCATCTCAGGATGGCCATAAGAGATAAATATTTCAGCCTATCTAAATGACCCTAGCTAAGAGCATACGCTTTCTTTTTCAAGGCATCAAAATATCAAGACCACCAAAAGAAAACTGGTAGCCACACATTCAACTCTGTAGCAAAAAGTTAGTTTGCAACTCCAACTTTATGCTTCAGAATCACAAATCCTGTTATCTGTCATCAGGGCTACTTCCAGGACTAATGTTTCTTTGTCTCACATCAGATACTACAATATTGATGTCCGCTAACCAAACCTAGAAGTTCATTGACTTGTCCATCCATAAAATCAGGAACAGGCATTTAGTGATACAAAATGGTCGTGCTAAGACCTAATACCTGAGGGGCAGATCACTCATATCAGACTCCCAGTTCTGCCTGAAA